CTTTGGGGCTTTGAAGGTCATAGGGATCATCTGGGCTAACATCCTCATTGCGCAGATGGAGAACCCAGGGCCAGGAGGCACTGTGATTTGCCCAAGGCTTCACCTGCGTTCCAGAAGGAGGCAGAGTTAGGACAAGGAATCTGGAAGGTTCAGAGCCAGCTCTTGACCTTGTGGTTTGAGCAGCCCTTGGGAGGCCCTAACACATTCCAGTGGGGCCACGGAGCTCTGACCCTGGGGCCCTGTGCTGCCCTCTGCAGGAGCTGGGCAGGGGATGTTCTTACCGGCTAGGTCCTTTCTGCCGATGGCCACAAGGCCCTCGAAGAGTGCTTTACTGGGGTTTTCACCCTTCGTGGCCACACCATGCAGCCAGATGAGCAGCATCCGGTGGCCATGCTCCTGGTAGCTCTTGGTGCCTGAGGACCATGAAGGAGAAACAGAGGGTGAAGGAGCCAACCTGGCCCACTTAGCATCAGCCAGGTCTGAACACGTCTCAATGCCACCCTGTACCGCCTGCTGAGCACCAGGCCCTTCTCCCATGCTCCAGCAGAGTTCAGCCCAGAGACAGAGGGGAGAGGAGGAGCAGTTTCAGATGGGGTACGGGCCGGGATTTTGTGTTGGGGACTCTTGAACCTCCCCAGCCCCAGGCTTTCTCCTGAGCATCCACCAGACATGCTGTTGGTGTCATTCCTAAGAAAGCAATAATTGACACTCGTTGTGATACCATGATGCCCACGACTGTGTGTTTCATCTCTAGCTGCTCATGATAGTCTGTGCCTTGCATGCTAGTGGCCCATTCTACAGATGAGAAGACGGCTCAGTCAGACAGAACTGGCCATGTTCTTTCCCTGCACCAGGGGTTCTCAACCCTAAGTACTCATTGGGAAAACCTACAAAGCTTTAGACTATACTGACACCTGAGTCCCCCTGACTCCAAGATTCTGACATACTTGGGTCTGGCTGCAGCCTGGGCAGTGAGCGGTGTTGAAGCTTCCCGGGTGATTCCAACATACAAGCATGTTTGGAAAATAAGTGCCCGCACTCTTCAGGGCAGGTGGTGGAGCTAACTTTTTATTAAACTCTGTGACGAGGCCTGTTCTCCTGGCTGGGGATACACACACGCACACACTCAGGCACAGTCATCAGGTCCAGGTCAGTCTTTTCACTGTGTCCTCTGACTTTCTGGCCCTCAGTAGGTGATTCCTCATGGTGCTGCCCTTCATGTGGCAGTTCCGTTTGACGCATTTATTCCCTAGCCCTTGCCCCCAGCCCCATAATTGACCAGAGCTCCTTTATCATCTATGAAAGGTCTCATCTGTACTAGAGTTCACTTTTGTACTCCCTGCTCCATTTCATTAATTGGTTTTCATATTTTTGTGTCAGGTATCTCTCTATGTTAATTATTTTAACTTTATAAATGGTTGAGTCTGCTTGGGTTAGACCCTCTTCATTTTTTTCCCCAAAATATTCATTTATATATTCCCTGTTTATTCTTTCAGATGAACTGTAGAAACCTGTAGTCAAGTTTTAAAAATCTTATTNCAGTATAAGTTCCTCCTCTCTCTTTTTTTTTCTTGCTATTTGCTGAAGAAACAGGCTCATTTGCCCGACAGAATTCAGCAGTTTGGATTTTGCTGATTGCGGCCCTGTGGTGTCTTTTAACTTGTTTCTCTGTCCCTGATATTTCCCATAAATTGGTATTTAAATCAAGAGGCTTGATTAGGTTTGATCTTGATCTTTCTGGCAGAAATGCTTCATAGGTGGAGCTGTGTGCCTCCCATTGGGTCACCTTAGGAGGCACATAATGACTGTTTGTCTCTAAGTTGTTAAGATTGTTCAGTGGGTTCAGGCATTTTCAGTCTGATCCAGACATTGGAAACGTCCCCCAAAGGTTTCCCTGCCACTGCTAATCATTGCACAGAAGCATCATTTCATTAGGGGTTACAGAACAGTGTCAGCACTCTTAATTTTTATCATTCTGCATTTATTAACTGGAGTTTTGCTGATTAACACACATACACTCCCTCATTAACTATTTGGTTTTTCTTATGTACAATTTAGACAAAATCAGTTTTGGTCCCTTTAAGTTTTCAGGATATTGAGTTGGCCGTACTCGACAGATTTCATCCCCACCACAACCCTGAATTAAATGATTTCACAGGTGAGGTCACGGAGACTGGGAGAGGTCAAGAGACTTGCTTGGCATCACACAGTAAGGAGTGGAGCTGGAATGCCAAGTTGGGCCTGACCGTCCCTAAAGCCAATGATCTTTCCATGAAGGCCACAGTGTCTTCTCTACCTTGTGACTTGACAACTGTCCTAAATTATGGAAGCACTTGGTAAACCATGAAGGCAGCGCTTGCTGTTTTTAACTGTTAGTGTTGAGGCTTCTTTGAGGCTGCCATAGTTTTACTGTGTGTGTCTTGACTTCCCAGCAAGCAGGGAGCTTCTGTGGGCAGGGCCATGCCACACATGGTCAGCAGCCCACCTCACCTGGTACAGTAATGAACTGTGGGGGCCTGCTCTCAACTTTCTTTTCAAATTCTTCCTGTGTGAGCCATGCCCCCTGACAGCTTTACTCCCGGGCTCTATACCCTGATGACTACCATCTCCAGCCCTGACTGATTTTCAGTGCTGGCCTTGACTGTCTATTCAGGCCTATCTATTAGGCCAGGCTTCTACAAGCATCCCAGACTCTACTGGCAAAAACCATGTCTGCCCTGCTCAAACCTACTGCTTCTCTCCCAAACCCCATCATCTCAGTTCCCAGCATCATTGTTCCTCAGATTCCCCAGCTAGAAATCCAACCATCTTAGACCCCAGCTCCACCCCTCCATCCCCGTGTCTCAGGCTGAAGCAGATGCTGAGATGAAACTTTAGGTGCAAAATGTTTATTAAGGATCAAAGGAAGAAAGGTTGTGTAAGGAAGATGGCTTGGGCAGAGGGAGAAGTTGAGCTGTGATGCAGGCCCAACCAAGCACCGCCTGACTGGGTGGGGAGCTCTGGAGCTAGTAGTACCCATTGGAATAGTCTCACAGGGGACTGAAATGGCCAAGCCCTCTGCACACCAGGCCCCTCACAGCCCTCCTGCCCCTCCAGCTCATCTCTCCTCCTTCCATGCTTCCTGTGTTCCAGCCACACCATTCCCCAAACAGATAACATCTCCACCCCTCCGTGACATTGCAGACTGTGCTTTCTGCTTGGAATGTGCTTTGCCCTCTTCTGTCTTCTCTGTGAGCTTCTCACTTTCCTCCCCCTTACTTTCTCCAAGGAAGAATAAATCCCATAGTTCTCTGCATACACCAGTTATAGCAGCAACCACATTATATTACATTATTGATATCCGAGCACCCCACCCCACACACGCACGCACGCACACACGCACGCACGCACGCACACACACACACAAGCTTCCAGAGGGCAGGAACTGTGGGCTACTCAGCTCTGCTTCCCGGCTCCCAGCAGACTGCCTGGCCTGGGAGACAATCAGAAAATATTGATCACTGGTGGTGATCTGAGCAATTGTGGTTCCACAGAACCAATCCACAACAGCTTGTCTGATTTGAAAGTTTGCCATAGCTCTCCCAAACAAAAGAAACAGGTATTGAATTTGACAGAGATAGTGATGCATTTCTATTTTATTTTAAGAACTTTGCTTTGTCTTGAAAAAAAATTACAAAATTCACTGTGCAAAATTCATCCAGATAAATGATCTAAGCCCCATGTGGAAAAAAACAAAACAAAAAACCTTTCCCAAATGGAAGCGATGGAAAAAGAGTTTCCACCTCCACACAGCACATGCAGAGGAAGGGTGCCACATGGCATAGAGGCTGTGCTGGGGTCTGAATCCAACTGTGAGCCTCAGGTAAGACACACCTCTCAGATATTGACTATAAAATGGACTGATTGCAAAGCCTCTTTTTCTTTCTGTTCATAAATTTTAGGGTTGTTTTTTTGGGTTTTTTTTTTTTATTAATAGACTGGTTTTTTCAGTTCAAAAAAACAGCAGGTAGTACAGAGTTCCTATATACTCTTCTCCACAGTACAGTTTCCCCAATATTAACTTGCATTAGTGTTACTATAATGTTTGCAGGTTTATCTGTAGGATAAATTCCTAGATGTGGGATTGTTGGGTCAATGGGTAAATGTATTTGTAATTTTGGTAGATAATGCAAAATTGCCTTTTGGAGGATGGTACCATTTGAACTCCCACCAGCCAGGTGTGATAGCTGAAGCCCCTTTCTGCTCAAATGATTTTTATTCTCCTTCCCAGGGCTCAGGCCCAGTGGGTAACTTTGTGGGAGATTTTCCAAGATGTGGGCTCAACTGGCCACCGCCAGCTGTGACACATGTAAGAGAGCTCAAATTAGACAGAAACAGCTTTCAGGCAGAATTTCCAGGCTTCTTACACGGATAATTCTCCACATGCTGTGAATCCATGAAGCTTGCAGAGTCCCATTTCCCTGGAACCACACTCTCCTACTGGTTTGGCTGAGCCATGCAGTAACCCGTGCTTGCCTGGCACCTAACGGGCTGTGATACGGTTGCCACTTGCCACAGGTGCCTATTTAAATTTCAAATCATTAAAATTAAATAAACTGTAAAACTCAGTTTGTTGGTCCCACTAGCCACATTTCAAGTGTTCAATAGCCACAGGTGGCTAGTGGCAAACATTGTATAGCACAGGTCCAGAACATTGCCATCATCACAGAAAGTTCTGTTGGATTGCACTGCTCCTGAGAGGTTAGCCTTTGTATGGCGCTATTAAAAATGAGAAGAATGACGACTAAATGTAAGGTGTGATCCTGGACTGAATTCTGGTCCAGAAAAAGGACATGAATGGCTCAAATGAAAAACATTTCAATAAAGTCTGAAGATAAGCTAATAGTATCCTATCAGTGTTCATTTCCTGGTGTTGGAAATTATACTGTGGTTATGTAAGATGTTCATAGTTGGGGAAGCTGTATTGTGAGAACTGTTCGGAAATTCTTTGTATTTATTTCTGCAACGTTTGTGTAAGTCCAAAATGATTTCAAAATAAAAAGTTTTAAAACTTCAAAAAATTTTAAAACAGGAGGGAAAAATCAGAGTGTGTGCCTCCTGGAACTGTTAAAGTGTACAAATAAACTTGGGAACAGACACAGCTGTGACGTAAAGGCAGCATTCCTAAAAGCCAGTGGCTGAGTTAAGGGTGG